AATAAAATAATATAGTAATAATTATAATAAATGTAAAATAATAGTTAATAAAGAAAATAATAAAGATTGAAATCAAATTTTAAATTCAAAAAAAGTGTAATATTTTGAAAAAACACAAATAAATTAAATATAAAAAATGTTATTTAATGTTAAATGCTATAAAAAAATGATAAAAAAAATACAATAAACATTTATTAAATGACCATTTTTATAGTGGAAAATGAACATTTTGTACTTTTAACATTATTAAACATCATTCTAAAATGCTATAAAAAATTCATACCGTTATGATTAATGATATATGAATGCTGATATATAACATTATTAATACGAAATGTTCATTATACGTTATAAAATGGCAATATATAATGTTACATAAATGCCGTTCATAAAACGTAAATACGAACAGAGCATTCATATAATGTTCTAGAATGTTACGTTCTAGTATATTGGTATTATTCTAGAATACTATTTGAACGTTTCATTCATATAACATTGTAGAACATTATATAAAAATTCCTGATGTAAATAATTCTTAATATATAATTAGCTAATTTATATATTTCACAACTGATCACTTTTTTTACCTATACTCAATTTATGTTTCAATATCACAAACTATATAATAGCAATAATTAACAAGGTAAGTAATATATATGCTAATAGTTGTAACATTAAACTACTTGTTATAACAGGAATTATTTTCATTTCCTCTATTGAAATTTGAGAATATGATTTAATCAATGAGGACATATTATTTTTCCATTATACAAGATGTGAATTCATATTCTCAAGTAATATATCTGATTTTATTGATGTATCTAGCACATTATCCTTATTAATTTTACTAAGATTGGTTTCATCACTTATTTTGGGAGATGTCTTGATATTGTTTTTTGAAAATTCTGAGATTGAAGTAATTTCATCATTTGTATGAGTCAGTAAATCAGTACCAATTTTTTCAACTAGATCCATATTTTTTCTATGTACTAAATATTTACTGAGATTTTTATAAGATTTACTAACAGTAGAAATATTATTAGAACTCAATATGAAACTTTGTTCCTTGTTTCATTAGTCTCACCAATCACAAGATCAAGATACTCCAATTTCAAATGCTCAAGTTCACTAGCTTTCAAGGCCAGGTCACTCTTCATTTGTTCTACTTAAGCTATTTTTGATTTAAGGAATATTATCTCAGATTCTTTTTTTAGTGAGTCATTTTGAATCAAAAATACATCTTTCTGAGCTAAAGATAACTTACCTTCCAATATCTTAATCATAGACTTAAGTGATCTAATTTTCTTTAATTTTATATCATTCTTAGCTTTGGACTTTGCAAGAGAAATATCTTTATTAAAAATTTCAATCTGTAAATACCTAGTTATAATGAATATATAATAATGCAAATAATGAAAGTTCTACTCATGTTTCTCTTACAATCATATTTAATTTACTGTACCACACTTTTTACCATGTATACATTTATTGATTGCAATATATTATGATAATGTTAAAATAAATTAGTAATGATTCTTAAAAAAAATATAAATATTATAAATATCTAAAATACATACCATTCAAGCTATAAAAATACTTTTCAGCATTTAAAATTTTAAACACATCGGTTAAACTCTAATGATGGCCTTGAACAAAAAATCAACGGTACAATATGACTAATAGTCTTTGATATAAAACAGTTTTTAGGAAATAGACTTGCCCGATATAATTTATTTTATATAATTATTGTTGTCATTGTTCAAGAGCTTGATAATAAATTGTTTAAAAGTCTCGATCGATCAGTTAAGTAAATAAGATGTGAGATCTTAACCAATAGAAAATTTTCCATTCCGCTTTAGCCTACCCCTAAAACACGGTAGTTTTTTATTGTCTAAATACTTTAACTTTATTAAAAACAATAGATTATCTTTAAATCGGATGATGGATTCCGGAACCACAAAAATTTAACATTGTCCGAATTGAAGCTGAAGAAAAAATTGGTTGAAATAAGTTTTAGAGATATATCAGTTTTATCACTTACATTTTAGAAATGAAATAATCAAAAACTTATTCTATTACAATATTTTTCTTTCAATGTGAAAAAATTTCTTTGAATCATCACTAAAATTTTGGGATAGAACAATGGTTACATATCATCCACGTTATCCGTGAACTACATTTAGAATTAATTATTTTTAGATTGACACTTTTTAATTTTGTCAAAAAAATCCGATCTGTCTCGTGTAACTCGTGTAACTTAATGATTTAATTGGTTTTCAAAAGCAGCACACAATGAAAACATTTTTTTTAGTCAAATCTTTTTGTATGACTACTTTAGGAAAATAAATAATGAAATTGATTACTGCGATTCGGAGCTCAAATTTATTTAAATGAATTGATTACTTGATTTCTTTTCCAATTTTCCCGATTAAAAAAAAAAATAAACGAAATCATTTTTTTGAATAATAAAGAATTCTCTTTGAATTTAGAAAATCATTTTTTATTATATATGTATATATATATATATATATAAAATGGATGATACCGATATTCAATCAAACGAAACAATTGTCAAAGACCCCTCAGCAACAAATGTTTCCTCTGAAAATTTGACCCCAGATCATGAATCAAGTCATCCGTCACTTGATGATAATTCTAGTGGTGGCAGTGAACAGGAAAGCCACAATTTTGATAAAGAATATAATTTGGGTGATATTAGACTTGAGGATTCCGAAGGTTTTGGTCATGACGTATTTAAAGTTATCAACAAAGATAGAGACAATTTGGAAGATGAAGACGATAAAGATAATGATGATAAAGGTAAAGGTAAAAATGTAGATAATGATGATGATGATGATGATGATGATGATAAAGGTAAAGATTTAGATGATGAAACTGATAGGAATGATGATCCTGATAAAGGATCAAAAAGACATTCAGGGCAAAATGTCGGACAACAAAATACTGGTGAAGGAACATCTAGTCAAGCCGCACGATTTATAAAAAAAGGATTAAATAAGTTTTTACCTTCTTGGCGTGAAAAGGATGATACTTCTGGATTTGTCAAGATTATTTTTCATGCTCACTTTCCGAGAGATATTGATGAGCGGGGACATCCTGTAATAATGGGAAGTATTAAAGAACTTGGTAATTGGACTGAACCAATTGTTCGACTTCAACAACCATATCGTCATTACGCTATGGATAAAGGTACACATTGGATATCGGATTCTGTCTCAGTACCTATTGCTTGTTTCGAAGAAGAGGTCAAATATCGTTATGGTATTTTTAGGAAAGTTGATAAAAAGAAAGATGATTATGAATTTTATTATGAGAAAAAAGATTATCGTATTCTAAATATTAGGGGTGGCAACCAGTTTGATTTAGTTTATGAAATAGAAATAAGAGGATCTCCTGAGTTAAGACAAATCCATGAGCATACATTCTTGAACTTTCTTTTTGAATCATTGACATCTGATAATGCTAAAGAAATTATCATGGAATTTCAGGGTATCGCAAATAGGTATAACTTTTACGTAAGAGATGGATTAACTCTTCCCTTTATTCATGAGTGTGGCGATGAAGCAAAAAGGTCAAAGGAAAAGGAAAAACGTATTTTCCTATGTGTCCTTTTAGGATATTATATTAGTTTACGTGTACCCACCGCATTTGGTAATGGTTATTCATTACCAAAATTTTTTCAATCTGGTCTTTTCCTTGATTGTCTTGATAAATATAATCCGGATCGTATACCGAATGATGATGCAAAAGATAAGCTATTGATAGCCATTTCTTCTTTGGTCAGAGATAATGCTGTTAAAGGTTCATTTGATTGGTTCAAAATTTTTTCAATAGCTTCAACTTTAGATCCGGAATATTCATTTATAGATTCATTAAATGATATAAAATATCCCGAGGAAAAAATGCAAAAATTTATCAAGCAATTTCAAAAGGAAGTTGTTTTCTATATCAATAAAATCGAGGATCCAATAATTTATGCAAGAATAATTAATGTAAGTTTATGTTAATTTTCGTTACCTTTTTTTTTTTTTTTTCAATCAAATTATTAAAATTTATTATTAAATTATTTGATTTAATATAGTGGTTGTTCCAGATGTGTTATAATATGGAACCTATATTGAAATTTTGGACGGAAATAATTGATCATACAACAGAAAGAGATCAAATAATTCGTAAACCTTTTATTCGTAGAGTTCAAGAAATTATTTCCAATGATGATGCAGTTAGTCTTTTAAGATATTTTGAAAAAGTTCCTGTTGACCTTCGTGAAGAAGTTTGTGAAGCATTTAGAAAAAGACTTTTAAGATTATTAAATTTTCCTCATATTGATTGGAGTAAAGATAATGTTACAGCTGTAAAAGTAATTATGCAAGATCCTCAATTTCAATGGTCAGAAGATGAGTTCGTGGAAGCATTAGAATTAATTTCCCAATCACTAAGATTGAATTTATTAATGGCTTTTCCACATTTACTTAAATATTGGTTTGAAACTTTTGTTGAGAATCCATCCGAAAAACTTCCGGATATTTGTAGTTTTTGGTATCAACAACTTTTGGATCAATTAAACGATAATACTTCATCATCAGAAGATGATTGGAAATTTGTCTATGAAATATTTAATCATTTGTCACTTATATATCCAATTATAGAAAAAAATGAAAATATTTATGACAAATTAGTCGAAGTTTCTATCAATCGCGCCAAACAATTTCATGAAAATAAAATATTAAAAGCCACACCTTATATCTTAGAATTAAAACAACCTAATATCATCAAACATTTTATATCAATAGTTAAGGAAATATTGAAAAACTCAGTCACCCAAGCTGATGATGAATTATTAAGGAAAGTTAAATATATATGCGGTAGTAATTCTAAAGTTCTTGAAGTTTCTCGTAGGTGAGTTTTATATTATTATTATCATTTTTTCTTTTAAAAAAAGTTAAAGATTAATTAAGATAATTTAGAAATAATGATTATTATTAACAAAATTAACAAAATTAATTATTTCTCCTTCATTTATAACAATATTAGAGAGAGTGAAAAAATATTATGTTTCATTATGTCCAGATTACAAGATTTGCATCCAATTAAAAACAACGATATTTCTTTAATCGTTTTGTCTTTACTTAAATCCGCAAACTTTTGGATTTATATTTTGAATGCAGTTGGAGTTGTTGAATCTTTGAACGAGCATTCTTACATTATTCATATTCGTAAAATAATGCATGAATTTTACCTTATCATTGATAATGGATCTATCACCTTTGAACATCTCCGAGATCTTCTCAAAAAAGAGAATTCAATTTTAATTGAATTCTTTCGTTCCGCCACCTCGGATTTTGATTATGAACTCAATTCGGAATTACTCACCCAAGTTGACCTCGAGAGGTTACGAAAACAACGTGATAATCATGAATTGAAATTAGATCAACTTCGTACTTTTTATACTCAATTTTGTCCAGATACGAAAGTCAAAGATATTCAATTGTATCTTGACGATATTAATAGTAGGACAAAGGAATTAAAGATCATCACATTAAAGAAAACTCTGAAAGATGATCATTGGGGAATTCACAGGAAGATTGAAGGTGCTGCAAAAAGAGCTTATAAACTCTCAAAATCCAAAACATTTAAAAACATTTTTGATTCCCAAATTCAAGCCGAAGAAGCTGAGTTAACCGTTGAAAGTGTCGCGGAAAATCTTATGGTAACCACATTTGATAAATATGATGAATTATGTAAGAAGTATAATGAATGGGAAAAACTTAAATGTTCTGAAGGTAGCTTCCTTTGGAAAAATGTTACCGATGTTAAGATGGAATTAAATTTGATGGAAAGTTATGTGCAATTAGAAAGAAATCCAAAATTAATCAATACTCTCATTTACCTTTCTCAAGTTCCAAAACAAATTGAAAGACTTCAACAATTATCCGAAGTCGCATTAATTTTTAAAGTTAAGCATACAAAGAATGATTGGCTAGGAAATTTATTATTAATTCTTAAGAATGATGTGTTGTGGTTGGGAAAATTAGTTAATTTCTTTGAAAAATATAATAAACATCTTTCGAACGTTAACGATGATTGTTGGGAATTAATTAAAGAATTATCTCGGGCTAGTGATTTTATTATATTTCTTCGAAGTGTGGCTGAACATGATATAAAAAATTTAATTAATGGTGTAGATGATTCAGACGAAAGACTAATTCAAGAAGATACTGTATCATCTCTTATTCAAGTGAAACAATTTTTACTTCCATTACTTAATAGTTCAAAACAATTATCTTTAAAAAGTTTTTTACATGAATTACTTGGAATCATTGATTTAAATCCTTCTTTGGGTAGTAAAATTGCTCTCTGCAATAATAGCAATATGGCATTACAAAATATGTATAACAATATTTCAAATCGAGGTGAAGTGACCAAAGAAAAAATTGTAAATGCTGTTAAAGAAGGAACATATACATTTAAAAGGGTTGACAAAAGTGATAAAAGTTCTTTGATATTAACCTACCCAGTAAATCCAAAACAATATAGTTTAAGTGATTTACATGATCTTCGTGGACGAGCTTTATTAATTTCGAAACCTGGAGCAGCTATAGATTTAGCAATGGCTACAACAGTAGGTGAATCTTCAACGGTGAAAGATGGTTCGAAGAATATTATGGATGAATTTGTAACTCAGGTAGATTTAGCACAAGAAATATTAAATATTGCTTCTCAATTGATTCAAATGGGACATTTTGATTATCGAAATTTTGAAAAAGCTGTTAAAGGAACTACGGAAATGAAAAATTTAGAACAAAAATTAAAAGAAGATCTTTTAGGATGGGAAGAGATTGTAAATAAAGCACAAGAACAACATTATTATTTAACATTTTTCCCGGCTCGACATATTTTGGCATTTTTCGATTATTTTACATCAGATGTGAATACCAAAGATCCCAAAGATCAAGAAAATGATATTGAATGTGAAATCCTTATTAAATTTGTAAATAGTAAAGCCAAGTTACAAACACGAAAACTTGGATTTGGAATACAACGTCAGAACAAAACTTATTTTGAAATACTTTGTCAAATCGGTACAAAATTACAACGTATTTTTGAAAAAGTACCTAAACAAATTCATTATATTAAATCCCGACAAGGTCGCATAGCTTCGGATGTAGTTTTTCGTGGAAAATTATTTGTGGCCGCATGTAATGATAAAAATCTTGTACCAAATATTATAATGTCATTATACGCAAATCATGGATCATATCCTCAAGCCTGGCAATTACTTATTTGTACAGCATCCACGACAACGGAAGAATTAGCAATCTTTATTAAACGATGTTTCTTTGCAGTTAATAATGGATACGATAATCATTTATTCTGTATTGCAAATTTAGAACTTCTTGATTTCGAATTACAATATAAACTTGTAAATAATATTCGAAAGATGCGAGAGATTCAACCAAATTATTATTTAGCACTTATTTGTTGCCGAGTGGATGGAATGCATCATCATATTTTAGATCAATTTAGTCAAGATGTTCATGCCACTTCTGGTCTTGGATTTGAAACCATGAAAGTGATGTATAAAGAATTATGTCCAAATTTATTAGTTGTAACATCGGATTTATCAGGTCAAGGGAAAACGGAACTTATTAAACAAGTTAGTTTTGAGAAACGTAAAATTCTTAGAAGTTTCTTAATAAGTGATGAAGTAGATTTTGGAACACTCGTTCATCGATTTAAAGAATTTAATATTCGATCAATTGAAAGTTTACATCTTAATATTGTATCAGCAGATTTTTGTATAGATGTTAACATGTTTTTATTTGAATTATTGACTTTAGGAATGGTATCAAATAATATGGATATTGCTTGTTTACCTGATACTTATGTATTTATTGAAATTGCATCTACCGTAAATCAAACATTATTACGTTCTTTACCAATGGTGGAAAATCTTTCTAGTATTCATTTAACTTGGGATATTAAAAATTTAACTGTATCACAAGAAATCAATAGTCCAATTCAAGTTGTTTGTCAATATTTGGATGCATATGATAATTTAACACTTGATGAGTTTGATATCAATTTATTACCAACTGCTTCTGATTTATTTCCTCATATACCATTATTACCTTCTAGATGTCAACACCTTATTAAAAAATATTTATTTGATAAGAATCAAGCCACCGAAATTCAATCTTTTAGATTTGTGGAAATATTTATTAATGTGCTCGCAGATCAATTAGTTCGTTTATCATCAAGTTCATACTTTAAAGTTGATAATTTAAAATTAATGATAAAAGAGAATACGATTAGAAATACTTTACTTGAAACTTTACTCTTGGTTTCTACGGATTTTGCTACCAGATCGGTTAAAACAAAAGCGGCACAATTAGAATCCACAATAAAAGGTAATATAGGTAATATGATTCAACAAGATGATTTAATGGAAGAAATAGAAGATGGTAATGAGAGATTAGGTAATATTGTTCAATGGGATGATTCAAATCATTTGTTAGTATTTTTCTTATCACAGACACCCGATTCAATTTGTGCATTATATCGGGATAAAACGAAAGTTCCAACAAATGTCAGAACCTTATTAAAAAGTCAACACGTTGGTGATAAGAATTGGAAATTAGATGATTATAATAAGATGTCATCAAAAGTTTTATTAGAAAAATTAGAATGTATAGCTAGAAAAACCATGCACGAAATTGAATATCCTAGATATGCATTATCAGCTGATAATTTATTAAAAATGGCATTAATTTTGTTGAGAGCGAGAGCAAATATTCCGGTTGTTGTTTGCGGTGAAGCTGGATGTGGAAAGGTAAATTTAAATTATTTTTTATTTTATTATTTTAATTTTTAAAATTATATATATGTGTGTTTGTATATTAATTTAATTTGATTTAATTTAATTATTTTTATTATCAAATTTTTATTTTTATTTTTATTTATTTATTATTGTTAATAGACAAGTTTAATTAGTTTCTTGGCCAAAGTCATGGAAGTTGAATTTGATTCTTTAGATTTACATGCTGGAATTACTGAAAATGTTATATTAAATTTTATGACCGAAGCTCAAAAGAAAGCCGAAACAAAAGAATTATGGTTATTCTTTGATGAAGTTAACACATGTAATCATATTGGTCTCTTTGCGGATTTAATTGCTCACAGATCACTCCTTGGTAAAGCGATTCATTCAAATATTCGATTATTTGCTGCTTGTAATCCATATCGTATTCGTACCAGAGCACAAACAGAAGCTGGAATAAAAGCATTAAAAAAAGTGAATAAGAATTATGAAGAACATAGTAATCTAGTTTATCAGGTGAAACCACTTCCTGATCAAATTCTTGATTATGTTTGGGATTATGGAGTATTAAATCCAACGGAAGAACAAAAATATATTAAAATTATGGTTGAAAGTTCATTAAAAGATTTAGGTTCAGATTTGTTATCAGAATTATTATTTGAATCACAAAAATTTATACGTGCTGTGGAAGAACCTTATAGTGTTAGTTTAAGGGATGTCAGGAGAGCAGTTACACTTGTTAAATTCTTTTGGAATAGTTTTCAAGATCGACCACCAATTCGAAAGGGTGGAACAACAAAACATTCGAGATATCCTTCATCAGAATTGGTAATTTTAAGAGTTCGATGTTATATTTTAGCAATAGGATTATGTTATCATTCAAGACTTTATGAACAAGAGTTAAGAAAAAAATATCGTATAGAAATGGGACGAATTTTAACACATCATGGATCATTTGTTAAAGAAGGGGACTTTAATAATATTATTCGTCAAGAACAAGAAGATTATGTAAATAGAATGGATCCACCACCAAATACAGCATTAAATGAAGCACTTTTGGAAAATGTATTAGTTATGATAGTTTGCATTCTTACTAAAATTCCTGTATTTATTGTTGGCGCACCTGGGTAAATATTTTAATTTTATTTATTTTATTTTGATTTACCAAAATAAATATTAAATTTTTTATTTTTATTTATAGGTCATCAAAATCTTTGGCTATAAGACTTGTGAGTCAAAATCTTCGTGGTTCAGATTCGAATGATGCATATTTCAGAAAACTTCCACAGGTATAAATAAATAAATAAATAAATAAATAAATATATATCTCTAAATATAGAAATAACTTTTAAATAATTTTTTTTTTTTTTTAATAATTTTAACATTATTTATATTATTATAGGTTTATCTTATTCCGCACCAAGGTTCATCCTCATCAACTTCCGATGGTATTCTAAAGGTATTTCAGAAAGCCATTAACTATCAAGAAACAAGTTCCAAAGAATTTGAAGTGATCAGTGTTGTTTTACTTGATGAAGGTAAATATTAATTATTATTATTATTATTATTATTATTATTATTATTATTAAATTATTATCATTTAATTAATTATCTAATTATCAAATTATCATCTAATTATCATCTGATTATCAAATTATCAAAATCAATTAGTCGGATTAGCTGAGACATCACCCTATAATCCATTAAAAGTACTTCATTCATTACTTGAACCGAGTTATCCATCAGATGGTCCATCAGTTTCAGTGGTTGGCATTTCAAATTGGAGATTAGATAATAGTAAAAGTAGTAGAGCTTTATTAGTTCAAAGACCTAAATTTGATCTTAATGATTTGGTGGATACAGCAGAAAGATTATTACAATCAAAGACCAATACAACTATAACTAAAGCATCGTTACAACCTTTAGCTCAAGCCTATTCGGAATATGAACATAGTCAAACATTATCAAATTTCCATGGTCTTCGAGATTATTATGCATTGGTTAAAAGTTTATCATTAGGTAAAATGACACCGGAAAATATTCAAAAGGCCTTGGTTCGTAATTTCGGTGGAACGGATCAAACCGAGAAATTATGTGAAGAATTCTTTGGAGAAGTATTAAAGAATTTTAATAATTCACATAGTTGGACATACAAACCAATTCCGGTGGAACGTTTAATTAATGCAAATTTGGATGATCAAGGAGCGAGACATTTGATGGTTATTGGAAAAAGTGATTCCATCGTAAATTTATTAACTTATCAATTGAGAAAAAGAAATTTGGATCCGGTTGTTATTTTTGGTTCTCAATTTCCTGATGATCAAAATGATTATTCTTATAGTGTATTAAGTAGAATTATGGTAAATTATTATATTAATTTGTATCGAATATTGATTATAATAATAATAATAATAATATTAATATTATTATATATTGATTATTATACATCCATTATAGATGTGCGTTGAAGCAGGGAGACCATTAATTTTGACGGATCTTGAAATAATTTATGGTAAATACATACATACATATATATATATATATTTATTAATAAAATATAATAAATATAATATAATATCAATCATTACCAATAATTACATAATAATAATATTTATAGGTAGTTTGTATGATCTTTGGAATCAAAATTATATTGTGGTTGGCAGCTCAGAAGATCCAAAATATTATACTCGAGTGGCACTTGGAGCTTATGCTAATCCTATGTTGTGAGTTGTAATTTTAATTATTGTTTTTTTTAACGCACCTGCGTTTTGGTGCATGGGTTTTAATAATAACAGATAAGGGTGTGATAAATATGATTTCACATGATAAAAAATTCTCTAAGTCCCTAGGATTTATGATATTCATTCGGTGTGACAGGGTGACAAATTTTACCCTGAACTAACCAGAACCCTTGCATTTAGTCATATGATAAGAATTTATAAATAAAGTAGTCCATGCGTCATAACGCAGATGCGTTAAAAAACAAAATCCTTTTTATTATAATAATATTTAATAATGTTAATAATATTAATTATATTGATATTAATAATTTTTTTATTTATCCTTTTATAAAGATATGTCGCAAAATCATTTAGATGTATTTTAGTGATGGATGAAAATAAACTCCGGAAAGCGGATCCACCACTTCTCAATCGATTCGAAAAACAAAAGATGACCATTAATGATGCACTTACCGTTCATCAAAAAAAAATGGTTTCACAATTATTAGATTGGGCGAATCAAATGTGTTCAATTAATTCAGCTACAAGAATTCATATTAATCCGAATGCAAAATTTACCTTAAAAGATTTATTCATCGGATTTGATCTTGATGAAACTATACAAAGTTTAGTTATTGATATGACAAAGGGTACCAATAACGATGATAATAATTATGATGATGATGATAATAATAATAGTAAGAATGGTGATGACGATGATAATATTAATGATGATGATGATGATGAGAACAATAATAATAATAACATCAATAATGATAGTTATAATAATGAAATTCTTAAGAAATGTAAAGAAAGATTAATTGCGATTGCATCATCTGATGGTATTATTCGAGCAGAAAAATCAAATCTGAGTTATGATGAAAAAATTTATTGGAAAAATGTTTACTTTAAAGTTCAACATCATGATAATTTGGTTGATTATTTTGAATCATTACTTGGTGATCCGGAAATTATTAAAAATAATCCGAATGGAGTTCAAGTTATTATTAATTCATTTTCTAATATTAATACAGATGTGAAAACTTGTTTACAAGATATTATAAGTTGTCAGGTTGATAAACTTTCAACTTTCAAAACTGAATCCCAACTTCAAAATCGTGTCAAACATTTTTGGTTAGAATCCGAGAATCAAATGTTAATACTTCAATGTGATGTTAACACGGTAAATTCGGGATGTATTAAATTAGCCAAATTTATTATTGAACAATTTCGAAATGAATTTTTAATGAAAAAGAATGATAATCATCAACCAAAACACGCTTGTATAATTTTACATATTCATCGAGAACAAGAGAATACTTTAGCATCATTTAATTTCATGTGCGGATGGGAACAAGTAACAATTGAAACTTTAATTCAACAAGAGAAACCACTTTCAATTCTTTTAGAAGGAAGTTTATGTGATGTTATAAATACCGCTTATCCATTTGAAGAAATTTTAGAACAAGAATTACTTTGGTGCTTGTTATGTATGAAATATCCTTCAAATATTAGAGCAATTGAACATATCAAGTAAGTTTATCATTTTTATTATTAATTATTAATTATTAATTATTAATTATCATTATTAATTATTATTAATTATTATTAATTATTATTAATTAATTATTAATTATTAATTATTCATTATTTTATTATTATTTTTAGAGTTTTGAATTCACAAATTTATAATCATCCAAAATTAATTGAATGTATCAAAAAACATTCACAAGAATGGCTTCAATCTAATTCTTCAGATAATTGGCAATTCAATGTGGCATCAAATAAGAAATTATTATATCCTTATTCTTCTTTCTCTATGGCATTACAAGCATATATTCGAGCATTTGTTAGAAAACCTATTGCTAAGATTCTTTGTGCTCTTGAAAGATTATCTGTAACTAGAACATTTTTCAATTTGGATGATAATGATAATAATATTGATGATAATGATGATAACCTTCAACAACAAGTAAAGAGAAATTTACTTTCATTCTGGTATAAAATGTTTAATGATAATAAAATAATTAACATTGAAGATATTCAAGAACCTTCACCTGATAATTATTTGATGCCTCCAGGAATTTATAACCTTCAATTTCCTTTCTCTTATTATTTTATGAATCAAATTGATAATTTTAAAACTCTTTATATTGAAGAAATTTCTTTACTTAAAGATGATCCTACCAATATGGATCCATCCGTTGATGATTTATATTCTTACTTAATTAATGCTCACATTAAAGAATTTTCAAATAAAATTCTTTCCATGATTCCAATTCTTAAATCTTCACCTATTGATTCTGCTCCCGAATTATACTTTAAAGATTTCGTATCAGTAATTGCTTATAATGAACCTGGTAATAAGAATCCTGAAATACTTGAATTCATATTTATTAAAAGACTTGGTTCAGAAAAAGTTTTAAATCCATTAATTTTACATACTTTTTGGTGGAAATATGGAAATTCTATTTTGGCCGAATTACAATTAGCTCAAATGATTCCTTTAATTATTCAAAAAATTAAAGATGATGAAATAACGAAAACGAAAGAAAAGAAAGATGATGGTGAAGATAATGTTGATGATGTTTCAGCATTTGAACAATTTTTAGTAGAACAAGCATCACAATTTATGTTAGAAATGATTAGTGATAATTCAAAAGGAACAGAAATTCAATCATTAGAAATTGATCAATGGCAACATGAAGTTAATAAAATTATTACTTTAAGTCAAAAAATTTCCGGATCAAAGAAATTAAGAGCATTTCAAATATTGGAATTTATTTATGATTTAATTTCAACCAAATCATTTATACGTCCAGATATTTCTCACATTATAAAACTTGGATTAAACATGGATAATGTTAATAATTTGAAGAAAAATAATAATAATAACAATAACATAATGTCAATATTAAAGAAGAAGAGTAATAATTATGTCAATAATAATAATAATAATGAACAGGATGATCTTCCATCTGATTTCGTTAAAACTGTATTAGACATGTTAATTAAACTTACTCCAAATGAAAGAAATTTGACGGCCAGAAGATCATTCATTTTAAAATGTTTAAATATCATTCCTATTAGATCACCCGTTCGATTGGAACTTTATAAAGAATTATTTTCAAATTTACCATTTCCTTTGATGAAAGCAATTATCTTAACAGTTTTCAAGACTGAAGAAAGTATTAATAAGAATACATTTTTCAAATTAATTACTCAACCTATTGAAACTTTAAAAGAATCTACTAGACTTAATATAATCAATAGTTGTTTCAACATTAATCAATTACATCAACCCATGGCAGCATTATGTTGTGATATTATTCAATTAGAATTTTTCTCGAATCTTGAATCATCATTATTTAATGATGATGACGGGACAATCACCGCAGCATTTTATTATAATCAAGCGATAAATGCATTATCGGATGGTTTGGATATTCAACCATTACAAAGGATTAGTGCGATCGCATTTCTCAAAGAATTCATTCGAATTTTATTAAGTTCACTTGTAAATATTGATGTTGATGATGGTACAAAAGAATTTAGAAAACCTTCACAAGAATTATTGGAATCCCAACTTTATCGAGATATCAATGGTTCGATGAATTATACATTCCCATTAATTCATTCATTAAAAATTTATTTCTTACGAGATTTGAGAAGACGTGAATTTACGGTTGATGAAATAAAACGATTTTTTGAAGAACAATCGGATTTATTACCATGGTAAAAAATAAATATCTATTAAAATTTAATAATTTGATATATTTAATTATATAAGAATATCTAATAATAAATATTTTATAATAATAAATATTTTATAATAATAATAATAATAATAATTATTATTATTATTTAATAATTTTTTTTATAGGTTCACCAATTTGAAATGGGATGAGAGTGAGCAGAGTAAATTACCATTTAATCCATTTTGGTCAATTAATAAATATGATGAAGTGGAAAAAGCATATTTCAATTATTATAATCTGGATAATAAAGGACCACTTAATCAAATTATTCAAAGTTTACGAGAAAATGATAATGAAAATAATATTATTAATACTCGAATCTCATTATTTGGAATGATCATCATGCACTTATATTCAGTTCAAGCATCTCGAGAATGGATTGAACGTGAAATGGAACTGGCAATTTATTTAAATCATGAAATTGGATCGATTGAATCAATTGGATCAATTGGATCAACCGGATCATTTGGATCTATTGAAAATTACAATGACTATTACAACAGTAACAATGACAATAATAACAACAACAATAACAATAACAAAGATAATTCTATCAATCTTTCTTTAGCATATAAACAAAACGTTTCACGAATTTTAATAAATAATTATTTCCTTTATGAAATTAAAAATCCGAAAATTACGAATGGAGAATTAATCATGAAATCAGTTATTGCTCATATTATTAGTGTTCACTCTTCGCTACCTGAAGATTTTTCACCTTTAACCATTTACCTACATAGATTACAAGATTGTAAGAACCATTTCATTTTGGCTTGTCAATCGGATATGGAATCCGTATTATTTAATGCGATTTCTGCTGGTGGACTCACAAGGTAAATTATTAAATATTTTTTTTTTTATTATTATTTCACACATTTCATATTTAAATTATTTGTTTACCTTTATATATATAATATTTAAAATATTGTTTATATAATATAGGTATCTGTGTTCATGTGGCTTCAAATACGTTATTGCTGATTGTGGTGGAGCTGTTGCACAAAGCAAATGTCCTGAATGTGGAAAAACCATTGGTGGAACAAATTATCATATTGCACAAGGTATTTTTCTTTTACATTTCAGTATCTATTTTTTAATATTCATTAAATTAGAATATTCATTAAAATATAATATTGACATTTTATAGGAAACACACGTCTTGATGCACAACCAATTGCTACAATCGCTGCTAAAGATCAACCCGGATTTATTACTGAACCTCCTAATAATGATATCAAATATGGGGTTCGAAATATGCCTCCAGTATCTTATAGAATTTTACATTTATTCGTTCACGTTTTAATCGCAGCTTCAATTTCATCATCAACAACTACAAAATCTTCAACTTCTTCTTCTTCTTCTTCTTCTTCTACCACAAAAGCATTTTCAACAATAATGAAAGAATTCCTTAATACAAATAATAATGATGTTAATGATCCCGAGAAATATTTTGCGGAACATATTCGTAATGATTGGAATGTTCTCAAGAAAATTTTAAATATTTCTGATGAAAATTTGGCAATTTTAATATATTCAATACTTGATATATTAATTAAAAATAAACAATCATCCACACAATCCACCACGAAATCTACTCGTTTGGGCTTTTTTACATCAGGTTCTTCAAGTTCAACTTCAAATTTATCATCAAAATTAACTGAAACAATGATGAGAATTAATTGGGAATTAGAATTCACCCGAGATTACGTTTCTCCCTTAATTAAAAATGTAAATGAGACCATAACCAATTTTAAAAATAAATTGGATCAATCATTAAAAGATGCTAAAATTACTGGAAATATTTTGGAAGGTGAAATTAATCAAACTTTGGCTATGGATACTAAATATTGTAATGAATATTTACCAAGGTAATTTCTGAATTTAAATTATTATTATTATTTACAAAAATAATATAATCATTTTAACTATAAATTATATTATTATTATTATTATTATTATTATTATTGTAGATTATGGAGAACGATTGGAAAAATTAATTTTGCAAGTTTCCGAGCTTTTTATTTTGGAGATCACGCTTTAAATACTGCGAAATATCCTCTCATCGAAGTTTTTGATAAACATTTTGAAAAGTTACATAGAATCAAATACCTTTATCCGATTGTAAGATTTGTTCAAATTTTATCATCTCGATTGGGATATCAATTAACTAGAAAGGAAGCGGATGAAAAAACTTTCAGATCATTCATTGAGGAAGAATCAAATAATGGAAAATTACAAGAAACTCACGAATCTTTAACTTTGGCTTTTAATGAATTTGAAAAAGCCTGGAATATGAACATTGATCAAGTAACCAGATTCCAATGTCATGATTTACCTGAAGATAAACCTCAGATGAATATTGATTGTAAAATAGTTTTAGGTTTATTGGAAGGAAGAGATGAAGGAATTTATTTATGTGCTATTTTAATCTATTTAATTAATTTACAAAATAATTTCTTACAAGATGTAATGAATATTTCTGCTGGAAGTTGTCAATCCCTTAAATTTTTACAAGAACCTTCTTGGGAAGTTGATTCTCCTAATAATATTAATAACAATAATCTTGACAATAATAATAATATCAACCCTTATTATATTCAATCTAAAAAAATAGAATTTTTAAGACCACACAATTTTATTAATTATGAATGGGATGAATCGATATTACATTATAGTCAACATAATCTTGGTGTCGGTCGAGGTCAAGATATAATTTATGATTTATCCAAAATTGAATCAATACTTGCGAAACAACTTGTAACCGATAAAATTCATATAGAAGGTGGAGGACCGGAATTACCTTTATATATGGACACTTTTCCTTATCATTTGGAATTACTTCAAGGATCTATGAGATTTTTAGGAGAGATCAAAGGATTAATACCTCAAGAATCAATTCCGATTGATAAAATTACCACAATCACTGGTACATCATTTAATACTTTTCAACCACAACTGGTACAACAGCAATTAGTTCAACAACAACAACAACAACAATCATCACAACAACAATTACAACCACCATCACAAAATTCCATGGATAATACATCAGAACTTTTCTCATTTTTAGAAATTTTACTTTGTTTCGTGAAGAGAACTTCTGTAGGGGATGGAGAAATTTTAATCAAAGATTTTGTTAATAAATGGATGAAATTATCAAATTTAATTGAAAATAATGAATACAAGAATTTATTAAATTTAGATTTAAAACTTAAACATTTAATCGCCTTATATGAATTAATTGAAGATCAAGTGGCTAATGTAACGATTAAATATATTCCCGAAAAATATCGTGAAAATTTGGATGATAAATTGGAAGATGAAATTTCGAGAGTGGTCGATTTTGATCAAAAGACTACCACTCAAGAACCCAGGATCCCCGCGGAAGCATTTGCCATCGCTTTAAAAAGATTTATGCAAAGATTTTTATCGGTCGATAGTATTAAAGAAACAAATCCTATTTATGTATATCTTGAAGATACGGGTTTAAATTTATGGCCAGATAATATTAATAATATTGAAGAATTAGTTGGTGAATTACTTCCTTATGATTTGTTGGTACAACATACTTTTCACGCATATCAATTCACTATGGACAAAATTCAAGTAATTATATATTTAATTATTATTATGATTTTTTATATTTTATTTTATTTATATTTTAAATATTTTATTTTATAAATATTATATTTTATTAAATATTATATTTATTTATATTTATTGAATATTGATTGAATTTTTATATTTTATAAATACTTTTATAGATGACCATGAACCAACAAATAACAGTGAACCGTCATGGATCACTTGGTCCATCAACATTAATTAATAGAAATAACGTGTCTGGTGGAACAATAAAAAGAAATAATGCGTCTAGATCAATAAAAAGATATAATACTTTAAATAAGGGTAAAGGTCCCGTGAGATCCTTTGATAACACTTAAATATTTTAATTAATTTAATGCAGATTAATTTATTTAATATAGTTTTAATTAATTCATTTCATTTTATTTAATGTATTTTTTTTTTCATTATATATATATATATATATATTTATTTATCTTTATTTTATTTTTTTCTTTTCAATAAATTAAAATTAACATCATGATGATGTTATTATGTTATACTAAATGGGAAATCATGTCACGTAAATCGAATTCTTGTTCAGGAAACAATTCAAATGACAAATTACAACATGTATGTTTACGCTCGATATGATATATATTTTTTTTTCTCACACATTCTATGAGAATTTTTTTTTTTTTGGCGTTATTATTTCCGATTATTAACATACGATTATTAATGTTGGACAAAATTTATTATTATTATATAAGCCTTTTCTTTATATTTGATTCTTATTTTACCTATTTTGGGTTCATTTATGATGATATAATAAAAATTTAACTAGCATTGTGCTTTGATAATAACATTTTTTAATAAAACCAAATCAGATATATGTACGTTCGATGTAAAAAAGAGAAGAATTTTAATAAACATAATTATATAATAATAATTATAAATAATAATAATTATTATTTTATAATTATTAATATTTAATTATTAATATTAATTTTTTAATATTATTTTATTTGTTTTGTTATTATCAATTTTAATTACATAATAGTCGATTTCCAAATATTATTATTTTATTATTTTTATTAATTTCAATTACATAATAATAGATTTCAACTTAAATCGAATAAAATTCTAAATACCTGAAATGATGAAATATTACCTTTTATTTGCTATTGTTGCCTATCAATGCTATTAATGCTATCATTAATGCCTTTTATTTCTATTCTTGCTAATATTCTCCTATTACCTATTACTCCTATTGTTCCAATTATTACTATTTATTGCTACTTATTGCTATAATAATAAATTTTATTAACCATTGTTAATGTTTTATGAAAATAAATCTCCGATAATTTCGATTGGTGCAACGTTAACAGGATGAAAACTGGTTAGGATTAATTGCGAGTTCGCCTGACACCATTTACATTCTAGAAAATCGGGGTTAAGCGATTTAATAAAACTATAATATAGTTTACATCTGTTGGGGCACAAAAGTATTATACAATTTTAAAGAATTGATTTTTTCAGAATATAAGAAGTATATTATATTTTTTTTTGAAAAAATTTTCCGGACTTTTTATAAAATATAATATATTCATATATGAAATTTTAGTATCTGTGACAATTTATACTTACCTAAGACTCACGTGTATGTAAAGCTATAAAAAATTGATCGACAAATGGTGCGATATTAGAAGGATCAGCAATTAAATTTTAATCACGTGTTTTAATTACGTAACGCGTAATTGTTATAAAAAGATAATATAATTACGTTACAATTAAAATTACTACTATTATTATTATTATAGTTATAGTTATTATAGTTATTGTGACATTTTAACCCTTTATATAGTTTATTATAGTTAATAATTTATGATCGGTTATAGTTATCATGGATTGATAATTATTACAGTTATAGTTAGTAATTATTTATTATAGTCATTATCAGCATTTATTATAGTTCATAATTCATTAATTAAAGTTTTTTTTTTTTTATCAAGTTTTATTGTTTGTTTATTTGTTTATTAATATGCAAATTATTATTGGTATCCCTTTTCTCCCCAGCCAAATAACAATCGAAGTATTCAATTACATTGTTTTACTCTGAATGAAACTAAAATAATTCATATATATTTTAATTAAAAATAAATAAAACTTGTCAAAAAAAAAAATTTTTTTCTTCCCTGCATGAAACAAATGAAAACCAATACCAAATATCAATTAATACGAATTAATAATAATTAATAAAATAAACAAATTAAAAAAGAAAAAATAATAATTTTATGTAAGTATGTTGCCGACATTTATGAATTTCATAAAATATTTTGTAAATATTTGAGGAAAGAACATGTGCGTACATGCGACGGAAGCATGAACTTATGTTTTATTAAAACGTATATGCATTAGAAATTAAATGTGTCAATTAATATGCCATTTACATGTCAATCTAGACATTCTTTTTTTTATCGTTTTTTATCGTTTTTATCGTTTTTTTTTTATTATTATTTAATATTAATTATTATTTTTTTTATTATTTAGTATTATTTATTATTTATTATATTACTATATTATTATTTATAAATTGTTACTTATAAATTATTATTTAAATTATTAATTATAATTATATAATTTTTTATTAGATAATTACATATTAAAAATTATAATTAGATAATTACATATTAAAAATTATAATTAGAAGATATCCGAATATTTCAATTTTCCCCGGTAGCAAACTCAATGACATTTTTTTAAAGTTATTTGTTACATCATAAAGATCGACATACGGGTACTCGTTTTCATATTTCCAAAATTAGTCTATTATTATTTGTAAATGGTGGCGAAAATATGAAACGCGTTGATTCTGTTTTAAATCTATATTTATTTATCGTTTCGTTTTAATTCTATTTCGGATTTATTTATTTGATGCATTTTTTTTTTTGGTTTTTGGATTTACTTTTTTTTTGATATTGAATATAAACATTTAGAAATCAAAAAGATGTATATGTATATGTAAATATTTTTAAATAAATACATAATTGAATGAAATAAATAAATGAATGAATAAAATAAGCGAAAAAAATAAATAAGTGAGAAAATATGTGAAATAAATATTTAATGCATATCTAAAAAAGTATGTTTGAATAAAAAAAATAATAAACGGTAGGCATGTAATGTGAACTTTAAGTATTATGTATTGTGTTGTATTATTATGTCGTAATATGTAGTATGTACAGTGGGGTATCAAAAACTGGGCAAACAAAAATTATTTAAAAAATTCCTAAATTTAAAATATTTAAATGCTAATTGTGACACTATGAGTAATTTAAAATTTATAAAATTTTTTTTAATTAGATTATTCTAAACTAGCGCTATCATAAAATGGCGTTGTTACAAATAAAACTAATTAATAACAATCTAATCTTTGAAGTTAGTCTTATCGATTTATCGATTTCAATAGATATCAAAAACAGATAAATAGATAACACTATCTTATAATAAATTATAGACAGAAGTCTATAATCCTAATTATAATCACTTTTTATATTTACTAGTGAAAATTAAAACTTGTATTAGGCACGATTGAAAATTATTAAAAATATGATTGATAAATGTTTAAATTTTTTGAATGGTCATAATTTAAACTTACTATTTGAAACTTTACAAAAGTTACAAATGTTTAAAACTTTATGGGTGCTTAGTATATTTTTAATATATATTTATTTTTTTTTTAACCATTTTAATAAATTTAGCAAATTATATAAATAATCAAAGTAAGATGATCGACAATAAATTTCTAAGCCATTATTGTCGATCATTTCACCGTTTATATTAGAAAAATTAAAAATAACAATCGTTATTATTATAATAAAAGTTAAACCCGTAATTAAGTAATCATAAAGAACTGGAACATATAGCATCTTACACAAAAGTTATAACCCTGTTGATTAAGAATCGGAAATAATAAATGTTTAAATTCTGACCATTCAAAAATTATTAAACGTTTATTAATCAATATGTTTCAAAGTTCAATGCTACTCAATATAATATTTAACGTTTTATTAATAAAATAATAAACCTTATTATATTACAACGATTAATAATAGTTTTTATACTAAATCACATTATTAATAACTTTTGATCGTTTTTATTCATGTCTAATTTAAGTTTTAATTTTCACTAGTAAATATAAAAAATGATCATAATTAAAGTTGCAGATATCGTTTCGAGCTATAAGATAGTCTGGCATCTATTTTGATATCTATCGAAACTAATAAGAAAATTATCAAAGATTAGATTTGCCATTTTAATTGGTTTTATTTAACAACAAAAACGCCACGCTAGTTTAGGATAATCTTAAAATATGCTCGTGTCACAATTAATATTTCAAATTTAGGAATGTTTAATAAATTTCAGTTGCCCGGTACCTCACTTTATGTGGTTAGTCTATGTCTAATTCTTTTTTTTAATATTCATTACTTCGTTCATTTCGTTTTATAAAGATGTATGTCACTCGTGTCATTCATGTCATTTATGTAGAACGTATGTCGTGTACTTCATAATAATAATTTTATTCTTCTTTTAAAATCTATATTTGAAATAGTGAGAAAAAACAAACAGAAATGCATATTTTGCGAGTTCAAAAGAAGAGAGATCAGATAAAGTTTAATAAATTAATTTTACGAGAGGTGCCCCTATTTTTGTTAAAAGTCAGGGGCACTACATATTTTAAATTAAATTAAATTTAAATCATTATATTTAATTAAAATTAATTAAGTCTTATATGAAAAAACCAAAAATTTTTGGGTATGCTTAGATAATATCATTCCCGGAGATTAATTGAATTATAATATTTTCAGGAATGTTAGGTAATATTTTTAACATATCTAAATTTTATCTGCAAGGAATGTAATCAAGTTGATTTGTTTTTATTTATTTAGGATCAGCGTGAATTTTTTTATAATTGCATACGAATGAATATTATCGTTATTGTTATCATTAATTATTTTTTGACATTCATTGTTATTGTTGTTGTTGTTGTTGCTTTGTTGTCGTTAAATCATTTAACTATTTTTTGACATTCATTGTTATTGTTGTTTTTGTTGCGTTGTTTTCGTCAATTGTTACCAATTGTTGTCATTATTACTTTTATTGTTATGTTCTTTTATTGTTAGTTTGTTACATTGTTATAATAAAGAACCCTATTTTTAATAAAAACCTGTTTTAATATGCACAGACCTTGATGAAACGAACATGTCATTTTTAATTACACGTTCTATTCGCACCACTATTGTTCTATCCGTTCTATCCAAAAAAAAAAAAACCAGAAAGATCGTTCATCAAATTATTATCGTAATTTATCAACATCATTATAATCATCATTATAAAAATATTTTACATTGATTCATATTTTGCTAAAAAAAATATTAAAAAAATTTAAATTTGATTCGTTTCTATTTTTTCAATTTTTAGAAATAATAATAATAATAATAATAATAATAATAAAATAATGATAAATAAATAAATAAACAATAAATAAGCAAAAAAATCTTTTCATGTGCGCCACAATCTTTTTAAGAATAATTCATCGCAAGAAAAAAAAAACATTTTCCCAGGTATAAATATTATATAATTATAATATAATGAGTTTCTACACGTACGTATTATTAAATAACTAATTTATTTGTCGTACTATTTTTTTTTATATAGCAATTAGTTTAGTTTTTAATTTTTTTTTTATTGTATTTTTTTTATATTGCATTTATTGCATTTTTATTATATTCATTGTTAGATAACAATCATTATTTATGCACAGTTAATTTTTGAAGTCATCTAAAAAATACAAGATCAGCCAAAAAAAACATTGGAATTTATATTTAATATCCTAAAAATCCGGTTTCTTATTTTTTGCCTCTCCTCTCACCTTAACATGCGAATAGTATTCCCCTTCACATCCTCATAAATATTCGAAAGAGTCATATTCGAAATACGCTCGTTATTATATTAGATTTTTTTTTAATACCTTTCTTTTTTTTTTTTTCCTTTTGTCACTCTTTCGTTTTTTTTTTCTTTCTCACCTTTTCTTTATTCTTTATCTCTTCTTTTATTTGAGGAAAAATGTATCCTCGAAAAAATAATAAAAACGCTCAACGAAAGAAGGTAACAAACGCTTGTAAAAATTGCAGGAAGAGAAAATCCAAATGCTCAGGCCGTGAGATAAGCGGTAGCAATAGTATAAAACAATGTGATCGATGTTTAAGGCATAACTTAAAATGTGAATTTATTGAGCCATCAATTAAGAGAGGACCTCCTAAGGGTCGGGATAGGTATCTTATCTATCAAGAGCGAGGTAAATTATAATACAATAAAAGTTGAAAACGGAATTCTGCTTCATGTGTTTTGTTTATTTTGCATAATGATTTCGCAAATATAATTTGGATCCATTAGAATCCAAAATAATTTGAATCCAACATAATCCGTCTGATTTATAATTGTAATTTTATTCTTATTTTATATATGTCTAGAATGTCTTGAATTCCCCAGAATTTATGATTGTTTAAATTTTAATAATGTTAATTTTGATGTTGATACTTTGGTCTCGGTTTTTAATAAAACTCACCCCGTATATTTAAATTCGCAATCAGTTTATCAACCTAATCTCGATTACACTCCTATGCCTATGAATCCTATGAATAATAATATTCCGATACTTACTAATGAGTTTAATTATAATAACAATAATAATAACTTTTACTCTCAATTTTACGATGGAGAATCATCCCAATCGCTACAGGGAATGTCTTATTGTAATAATAATTGTGATGAATCATACGTTTATCATTACCAACCACCAACTTCTTCCACGATTCAAACCGAATGTACCGATTCGGTTTTTATTGCAAGCATAAATAATATTTCGCACAAGTTTTAACTTTTTCGGAAGCAAAAATCGAAATTTCGGCATTGTCAAATGCATATATTTAAAAAAAATGACGTTAACCAAGAAGAAAAAAAGTCATAAATTCCTATTCGAAACACTCTTTTTTTTTTATTATTATTTCCTTGAAGCAGATAAAAAAGAACAATATTCGTTTTCCTTTCATCAATTAACATCATTAACGCACTTGAAAATGTTTTTCGAAATTTATTATTTTCCTTTAAGATTAAGATCACTATTTTATTATTATTCATATTTTTATTATGAAATAATAATCATAAGCTGTCCACATTATAATCTACCATAAATATTCGAATTCGAAATAGTCTCTCTCAACGAAAGTATTGAAGTGCCAACGATGTCATTCAATGAAGCGAGAAGAATTATGAAAACTGTAGAAGTGTAAGACTAATTTCTGTTGATTTCTGATAATTTTTGATAATTTACACCAATTTACACCTGATTTATTTATTTAATAGAAAATCAATATGGATTATGAATTCAAATCGTATTATGTGTATACGATGATAGTTTCTATTTTCAACTTTGAAAATGAATGAAAACAAATATCAGCATTTATTTTTTTTCAAAAAAATGGATAATTTTTAAAATTTAATTCAAAAATGTATATATAATATCTATCTCTAATAATAATAATAATAATAATAATAATAATAATAATAATAATAATAATAATAATAATAATAATAATATCTGCAATGGCCGAAAAAGCCTTGAATTGACTATAATCATCAAGGTAAATAAATTAATCATGTTGAAGTTTATTTTCTATGCTCCCTTCTCTCATATATATATATATATATATATATATATTATTTGATAACAATACTACTAATAAGATTCTAATAAGATTCTATATTTTACGCGTAAAGATTAATCGGTGTCACGTGATTTTATTCAAAAAAATGAGCATTTGTTCATAAATCTGTCTGAAATCAATGGAATGAAGAAGAATGAAATTTGTAGAATTCAATCAAAGAAATTCTTCTTGCATATATATTTACATCATTTTTTTTTGAAAAAAAAAGAACCTTAAAAAAATTATTTCCATATAAATCGAAATGGGCTATATTTCATGGGAAAAAAACAGAACTAATTTATATTTTGGAGTCATATTCAAAAGCATGATCATGAAAATATTATATTTTTGGAGTCGTATTCAAAATCATGAAATATTCCAGATATTCTGGAATGCATTTTTTATATGGTAACTACAACCAATATAGAAAATAATAATAATAATAAAGAAAGACAGTATAACAAGATAGCAAATTATTAGAATATTTAGTAATTTGTGATTCTTAACATTTAATATATTTAATGGTGCATATATTTAAAATATAAAAAAGAATTGCTCTAGTAGTAATATGTAATAATAATTATATAAAAAATTTTTTTATTTACATATACAGATTCTCACTTTGTACTGCGTCTTGAATCCATTAAAATTTTCCGACTACATAAGACACGTGAATATCGCATATTTTTAAGGATACGGCTTCTTCATTCTTTATTATATCAGTTTATGGTGGTGCTTTCTGATTTTGACAAATGAAATTTGACAGATATATCGGAAAACAAAAAGAAAAGTCAAAATAAGGTCAAATTTTTATTAATATCGAAAGAAAAATAATACTACTTCCTTTCTTTATTTATATTATAGTATCGCATTATAAATCCTAATAACACCTTACGAAAAAATATTTTCTATGGATAACAAAATAAAAGAAATAATTATTGCTCCGCCCTGGTAATTCTTCTTATAATGGATACACGCACATCACAATTTACATTATAAAAGTCAAGAGTTTGAAACTTGGTCTAATGGGAATATTAACATCGATAAAAGGTGTTATAGATATAATTTACAATTAGTTGATAGCGAATATTGCGCAGTGTATTCTGCCGAATTAAAAGATGACATGAAATAAAAAGGGTTGATATTGTTAAAGAAAAATTTGCTTTAAACAACTCTAGAAACGATATATCGGAATTTCTCAAAAGAGGTATGTATTTTTATAAAATTATTTTAATCTTTTATTACAATTAAAAGATTTATTTAATCACGTAATTAATTCAGATTAAAAAATAGTTTTTTTTTCTCTTAATAATATTAATTTTTATGGAATTTCAAAAAAAGAAATTTACGATTTAAGGTGGGAAACAAATTAATTATTCGAAATGACGTCAGCACTTTATTCATTGTAAAAAATTTAACCCATAATGACTATACGGTGGTGAAAAGGTCATTTTATTTTAATATTAAAATCTAATATTGGGTCAATTCGGTATATTTCACCTCGTGGAAATACATTTACAACGGAGGGTAAGATTCATAATTTTGTATGAAAACAACTCGTTGATCAAACACACGATGCTCATTTAATAATTGACATATGTTTATCAGACCAAATAATATGTTAAATTAGATACCGCATCAAAGTTGGAGCACTAATCTAACTGCAAGAAAAAAAAACTAAATGAAACAATTTTTTTTTTTTGAAATAAATGCATTCCATTCAAAACAGTTTATGTTACGATACGATTGCTGATGAAAATCGAGAAAATTTCGAACTTCTTTCATCTTCAACTGAGTTTCATGTTATACAAGTTGATGCATTCATTTATTGGAAGGCATAAAAAACTCCAGGTATTATTTATTAGAATGATTTGATATTTTAATAATAATAATGTAATTTTGTAGATCCTAATTTATTAAGGTGAGTACTTATGGTATTGATTCGAAGGTATTATTAGAATGTACGTATTAATTGGGATAGAGAAATTGAAAATAAAGCAAAAAAGAGATCTTCACTGATTGATATAATGATTCAAAGATGTATTAATTTGAATAATAAGAATTAATATTGCACGGATGCATTATCATTATTTTTTTTTTTAAAAAAAAACATTTTTGAAAATTTTATGCTCTTTCTTGTGCTCTTTCTTTTTCTTTCTTTCAAAGAATTCAATTTCTCTATATATAATTTCTTTTCTTTGTTAAGTTATTATAAAACCAAAAAAAAAAATTCTCAAAAGTTCAAAAAAAAAAAATATTAGTTTATTCTATTTGTTTTACTTATTATTATTTTTATATGATGAAATAAAGAAAACTTATTTGAAATAACCTTAATATTTACATAAATAATGTTAAATATATGCCTGTGGTAAAATGTACATATTGAGAAAAGCACTGATCATGCATGCATTTTATTTTATTTTACCAAATAAAATAACTTAATAAGTTAATAATTTAATAATTTGATAAAATGAATTTCTAAATTCTATACCACTCCATTGATGATGACATATTTAATATGTGTAAAATAATATTATGAATGAAAAAAAAAATAAAATATATCAAAATATAATATATAATACATGATATAATATAAGATACAATAAATATAATAAATAAATAAATATATGAATATAAAAAACAAATTTCTATTTCAACTAAATAAACTAAATAATAATAATGTGTGTTATGTATATATGTAAAAATACAAATATTTTATTATAATATGAAATATAAATTTATCATAATTTTTATTTTTTTGTTGGTTTTTTTTTTGTTTGAGAGAATGGGATATTAAGGTCTGATCAAATGTAATGAGAAAAAATATATAAAAAAAAAATAGTAAAAAAATATATATAAGAAAAATAACAATAAAAAAATTTATAAGAAAAATGATCACATACTTTTTAAAAATAAAATTTCCAAAGTTGTAAAAAAATTTCAGAAATTATTACTATTATTATTACTATCATTATTATATTACATATTTGGTGAATTTATTCAAAAGACGACTTGTATATACTGCTTTTGGATGAATGACTTGTGGTAGTGATGATGAAGGTGATGCTGCCATATCAATAGAATCTTTTCTTTTTTTATCCATTCTCATCATTTCATCATCAGCTTCTTTAAATTGTTCATAAATATCTCCAGATTTATTTTTATTAACTTCTTTTATCCAAGTTAAAACGGTATGAACAACAATTTGTGTCGTAGGTCTATCAAATTCATTTGAAATCCAACAAGATTTCATTAAATCCGCAAAACATTTAGGTGTCCCGGGTACAATGTCCGGACGAATACCCCGACAAATATCAAGAAATAAATTATAATCGTGTGGACGATCAGCGAAAGGAAGTTTTCCAGAAGATAATTCCCACATGATCATGGCTAAACTGAAAATATCTGATTTTTTAGAAAATGGATGACCTTGTAACGCTTCGGGTGCAACATATGGCATTACACCATATACTGGCGGTAAAGATATTAATGATAAATGATGATGAATATTTTTGTTCAGCGTTTGTTGATTGTCTTGGTTTTGTTGTTGTTTTTCAGAATAATTTGGAGGTCTAGTTAAACCAAAATCACTAATGGATGTCATAATAATTGGTTCACTACCTAAAAAACCCAAATTAGATAAAAGAATATTTCCCGGATGAAAATCTTTGTGAATTAAATTAGCATTATAATGTAATTGAGATAATCCAATTACGATTGATTCTAAAATATCTAATTTTTGAACCCACAATAATTTAGGATTTGATTGTATATAATTTCTTAGATTTCCCATGTTTGCAAATTGTAGTATTAATAAGAGATCTCCGGTTGATGGATATAGAGAAATTCCAAAATATTGTAGAATATATGAATCACGAAAATAACGAGAATGTAATTTTAACTATAAATAACAGACGATATTAAAAAAAATAACAGAATATATGTTAAATCATAATCATCACACTTAAATTTAGAATTAATTAATTAATTTTCAGATGATGAAGATGATGAAGATGAATATAGAATTTAAAATTTTACCTCATTCAAGAATTCGGAACTAATATTAGCGGAATCATGAAACCATTTAACAGCAACTTTACGTGATCCACATCGATCCCAATTTTTAGTTTCATTATTCCACAGACCTCTGGGACCATCAACCCAAGTAGCGGAATAAACGGTAGCAAAACCACCTTTACCAATTTCTTGTAAATCTTCAATTCGATCAAAAGGAATCCATTCCAAATAACTCATATTATAACCAATATTTAATTGTGAATCTTGAATTAATTTATCAATATCATTATTTCCACTAGTCCAATTAACAAAGTTTTCTTGTAAAGATTTAGATTCACACGTATTACACCAGAAATTATAAAGAACTCCATTTCGATAATCCCAACTTGTTAAATCACCATCACAGGTCGGACATTTTGGAATATCATCCAGTTTCTTTGTTTTTGTTGTGGGATTAACGAAAGTAGGTTCATTCGGAGACATTACAAAAGAATCCTCACTAAAAGTAATATCTAATGTTCTTAATTCACCATTAGATCCAGTTGATCGATATTTGGTTTCTAATAATTTCATCCCCGTATTTAATAATAATTAATTTTTTAATTTTTAATAATTAATAATTAAAATAATTATAATAATTAATAAATAATTATAATTTATTTTTTTTTTTTTTTTCAATAATTTTTTTAAATTTTTTAATAAAATAATTAATATAAAAATAATATTTACCTATATTTGATATGTTCTTTTTCTTTGATTTATTTGATTTATTTCTAATTTAATTGATTCATTTTGTTTTATTGATTTTTAATGTTGATAATTTCAAGAAATTAATTCAATTCAATTAAATTAATTAAATTTAAATAAAAGAAAAATAAAATAAAATTAGTTTGATAGCAACTAAAAAAAAAAAAAAGTACATGATATTAAATCAGACCCATTACGTTTTACACGCACTTATGAAAAAATGACGAGAATTTTGAAAAATTCATATTCACAAAATATTTATCCAAAGTATAAGTTGAAAATTTGGTAAAAAACAAAAGAAAAACTACAAATTAAGTATATGATGACTATATTTATATAATACCAAGACCCAGAATATATAAATAATAAATAAATAATAAATACAAAAAAAAAAAAATGAAAAGGCAGTACATGTGTCATCATGCAATATTTTATGTGAAAATTCGAGAACAGAGCTCAATTTGTATCAATTTATGACAATTTATGATATGATAAAAAGCAAATGTTATGATCAAGTGATCAAATGAACAATCTGTAATACTCCTCTATATGTATATATATAACTAATTTGGGAATTTATTTTTCGAATTTTACAAACAATGTCACCATATTACACTATGGATAAAGATTTTTATAAATATTCGGTGATGAATATTCAAGGATCGTTGTTTGCCGTTATTCTTTTTTTATTATATTTATAGATTTTATTGGTTTTATTGATTTTATTGGTTCACTTAGTTTTATTTGGGGTAACGAAAGTAACTTTCCGAATATTATTATATTAATATTCTTAATATTATTACATTATTGATATTATTGATATTATTGATATTCTTTCCCTTGATTTAATATCTCTCTTAATTTTCCTTCTTTATCTGTTATTAATAATAAAGATTTATTATTATAAAAGTCACTCAAAAGAATATAATAATAACGTATGATTTTAAATAATAATGATAGAAAAAGAAAGTACATTACATCATCACACCATTGATGCAGATGTTTATAAATTTTCTATGTTTAATTGTATGTTGTTTCAAATGAAATTTTTCAATTGCGCACAAGATTAAACAAGATTAATTAATTATCTGTTATTTTTAATAAAATTTTTTTATTCCAGTTACTTTTTTTCATTTATTATTTATTTATTTCATTTATTTCATTTATAAATGAGGTGATACACATATTTGCATTAGTTACTCTTTATTATATTATTACTTAATTTATATTATTTATTATGATATGTACATATGTATATACGAACTTCTACCGCTCATTCATTTCCCTTTTTCTTTAAATTAGTTTTTGTCATTGTTTTAATATATCCGTTATCATGTGATTTCATTTAATATTTGACTTTTTTTTTACTTTTTTTAGTTAAATCATTGTAAAAAGCGTCCTTAACTTTATATAGAAAATGTTTATATATATCCTTCTTTAATAATTAAATTAAATTAATTAATTTATAAATGAATAATTTTAAATTAATGAATTACTAATACTAATTAATTTAAAAACATGGAACTAACGGTTCTGTACCAAATTTCAAGGTTATTTGGTATATGAAGTTTATAATAAAATTATCACGTGTAAGGTCGACAGTATACAATATGCAATATTCTATAATTAGTAACAGTATTATTAAAAAAAAACAAATTAGGTTAACATGAAATAAATCCAAAACTTTAGAAATATTTATGGGACTCATTCTTGTTAAGACTTACAGAACTGCAACTATTACAACATATTGTCACTTAAATAAAGAATATAAACAAAACAATACGATTTTCTACAGTGCGGAACCTCTATAATAGGAACTTAGAAAATTTTAAATAAAATTTAATCCAATGCTCAGATTTCTTTTATATTATAGTATTTGAATATATACATATGGAGGAATCTATTTATGGAAAAAAAATTTTCTCGATTTTCTTGGTTTATGTAAGCATCACATGATGCAATTTAAGCCAATAGAAATTCAAGGAAATATATTCACGTGTTTATATAAAATTATTAATTTCATTTTTTTATTCTTAAACTTTTGTCAATGGTATTTAACAAATACAAAATATCTAAAATCATTAGAAATCCTTTTTTAAAGTAAAATTATAATAGTTAACTATTTTTAGTATATTCTCAAATTTGATAGGTATAATTAAAATACAGGACAGTGAAAGTTGATCAATTTAAGTCAAATCAAAATTTCAACTGATAATTCTGAGAGCTTAGGTTCTGAACTATCAATTTCTACGGTTAAAATTTTATTTCTATATATAGTAAATAAAGTTTTAATGAACAATTTTTATTATAACTATAGAGGTTTTGCACTGTAAATCTTTTTAACTTTAAAACCTTTATAACAAATAATATTAAAGATCAATTAACCTTTTTTTTCAATTAATTTTGATTTAAATAATTTTATTATTCTTTTTGATTGATTGAATTGATTTTTTATTTTTACAGATGCATGAAAAATATTAAAATAATATAATAAATATGATCAAAGAAAAAAAAAAGAATAAACGTTGATAAATTAATTGATTTGATTAATTGATATATACTGTGTATATATATAATGAAGACATAAAAATTTTGGATAAATGATTATTTGTTAATAATAACCTATAATCATAAGATTAGATATGACAGCAACACATCTTCCAGCAGATTGTCTTGATATGATCTTTAAAAATCTTGAAATGGATAGGAATTCATTATATTCAAGTATTCTGGTTAATAAATCTTGGTGTCAATCCGCCATTCAAATATTATGGAGTGATCCATTTCAACTTGTTAAATATAATAATTATAATAATAATATTGTCAATAATAATAATATTATCGATAATAATATTATTACATTATCTTATAGTAACAAATATTTAATTAGAACATTACTTTTTTGTATAGATCGTAATTCCATTTCTCAAGAAGATTATCAATTAATTAATTTATCTTCTAATTTATCCAATTTATCTCATTCTTGTCTATTCAATTATCCATCATTTTTACGTTATTTGAATGCCAATAATCTTACATCCGCAATTTGGGATTTTACTGAAATATTTGATATTCATATAAAATTAAGAATGAATGTAGAAAGATTGATATATGGATTAATAGCTAGAACAAATGGATTAAAATTACTTTGTGTTTCATCACCTGAACAATACAAGTTATTTATGAAATATTCAAATAGTAATTCAAATAATAATTCTAATTTAAATAATAATAAAAATCATGATAATGTAAATAATCATAATAATGTATTGATTGGGTTAAGAGAACTTCAATGTCGTGGATATACTTTTAATTTAGAATTTATCAATTTTCTCACTTCATCAAATATTTCATTAAATAATTTACAATGTATAGAGATTAGAGATCATGAAAGAGGAGATAAAGAATTACAAGAAGAATTAATTGATGGATTATGTAAATTAATTAAATTTCAAAAATGTTTAAAAATATTTAGAATTGAACAATGCAAATTTGGATTAGATAAAATAATCAATACATTGGAGGAATATCAATTTAGAAATTTAATTAATGTCACATTCACTTTATGTCATTTTGATAATTGTAATAGTTTAAAAGGATTAAGTGAATGTGAAGTATTAAATAATATTCATTTTGAGAATTGTAGTGGATTAAGAATTCAATTAGTTGAAACTTTGGGTAAAAATATATTCAAAGTCATTTATAGTCAAGTTACCGCCACCAATTGTTTACTTTGACTGAGTTATATTTTTACTATTATTATATATATATTTTACAATATATATTATGATAATATTTATAATATAATTATAAAAATAATAAATAATAATGATAATAATAATTAAACAATAATAAACAATAATAAACAATAATAATAAACAATAAACAACAACAACAACAACAACAACACAACAATAATAATAATAATAATAAACAATAACATAATAATGGATATAATGGGTATCGCGTATAGTAAACTATTTTTTAGCTTTACTTGCATCATAATTTTTCTTTAAACCAGAAATTATATCTTTACATTTTTTCCTCATCACAAATCCCTTTGGAATTTCACCAGAGTCTATTTCAAATAATTCTTTGGGATATGTTCGTCTTCGTGCTTTCTCTTCTACTTGCTTTTCTGCTTGTTCTTTTACTTGTTTTTCTTGATATTTGATTAATTTTCGATAAAGATATTCAACAAATGATAATACGAATACTCCACATTCTATATATTAAATTAAGTTGGATTTTAATTGATTGATAATTAATTGATAATTAATAAAATAATAATAATAAGATTATTAAATTACCATGATCTGTAATATTATTAATAATATTATAATATAAAAATAAAATAAAATATTAGATTAATATTATTTTAATATTGAAAGAACATTCAAATTAAAAATTATTACAAACCATTCATTTGTTGTGGAGCATTTGTTTCGATTACTATATTATAATAATTATAAATATAAGTTAAATATAATTAATTTAATAAATATGCATATAAACAAATATAAGTAATATAATAAATATGAACATAATAAAACGTACTATCAATTTTATCCAATCCAAATATAGTCTTTGCAACATATTTCGCTTTCGATTTATTCATACTCTTATATGAATCGTACTGAAAGAATACATTCATTTCTCTCACATAAACTAATAATGACCAGTGAGTTCCTCCTCCCACTAGACTCACATCCGAATTATTATTTACCACCAAAAATATAATTGATGCTGTTTTTAATTCTGGAGGTGAAAAAATCGGTATGTTTGATTTATCTAATATAACAATAAATATAATAAATATAATAATAATGGACATTACTAAAACGCACACCACTTGGTGTCCAACACCATCATCACAATAAATAAAATCTGATGATTTTAATCTTTGACCAATAAATAACCGATCACAAAAAAAATTCAAAACAAGATAGGAAAGTTCCTTGCAATATTTTCATACAAATCATCCCTAACTAACATCAATCGATCATTGTAGTATTGTGTGTTTGGCACCATGGTGCGTTTAAAATTTTCCATAATAATAAATATTTTAAAAATTGTGTTAATTATTTTTAATATAATTAACAAACCATTTATTTATTTACCTGTATTAGATAAAAAAAATGTCACACTTGCTCTAAGAAAAAATATATCTGATTTAAATATTTCTGGAGGAACAAATGTATGTTCTAAATATCTAATATGTTGATATAGAATTAGAATTAATTATATTTATATTTATTTATATAGAGTTATATATATATGTATAGAATTAATATAAATACTAACTCCAAATACAAATCAATACACTTGTCGTTAAGCCATCGACCATCATCATAAAATGCAACTGCCTTTGTTTTTGAAAATGATTATAAATATTTTTTGCAACTTATTAATTATTATTGAAAAATTATTGATTATTTACTCACCTCTTCATCAATATCCGCATCATAATATGTCAAATAAACCATTTTGATAAATATTTTTTTTTTTTTTTTGTTTTTAAAAAAAAAGACGAGAATATTTTAATGGCATTTCTCCTATAAGTGTGTGTCTTTATAACAATTAATTTAAATTTTAATATTTACTATTATTTTTGTTGCAAGTTTTGTGATTTTAATGTTTTCTTGTCTTTAAATATTTTATTATAAAAAAAAAAAAATCTTCGAAACACTGAAACACAAATATTTCAATATTTAAGAATTTTCATTTGAAGAAACATTTAAATAGTTGATAGATTTTCAAGCAGATGATTTTTTATAAATATTTTAATTATATTTGGTTTGACCATTAAAAAATTAATTTTGGACTACATATATTAATTATAATAAATACCAAATTTGAAGATAAAGCTAATTTTTTTTAATACGTACAATATATTTATTTATCTTATTAGTGTCATTAAAAAAATGGTTCCTTTTAATATTGGATCAAATTGATTTTAAGTAATATAGAATTTAAAAATTCTCTATTCAAAAAATTTAACTTCTTATCTCAAACTTAAGTTTCAAGATTTTTAGTTAGAAATATGTCAAATAATTATTTTTATTTAGATTTATGTCAGAGAGTTAAATAAAATTTAAATATTTGGAATAATATTGATCATATTTTTTGAAATAAAAAAGTATCAAATTTTCGAAAATACGAAATTATAAATAATTCTGGACAAATGTAGTAACATTGAAGGCCAGCGGAATTTCCTGATAATAATTAAGTATATATTTACATATTCATATAATTTCTTTAAATAGTATCATTCAATGCCATATCACAAAGATGAGAAATGTAAAGAATTATCTTTGTTGAATATCAAGTTGTTAAATCTTTATGAAAAAAAAAAAAATAAAAATTATATTTAAAAAAAACACTTGTTTAGGCGACGATAATTTGTTGGATCTTGTTCACTTAGAATCTCTAGATGTGTTGTCTCATCACTATTAAAGCCTTGATGAAGATAATTAAAAATGACTTTACATAAATAAAAATCTATTTTTATTAAAAGTATGAACGTTACTATGTACTACTGCTACTTCTACTATTACTACTATTAATGCTAATATTGCAATTGTTATCAGTATCAAATGGCATGTTTGTGTGGTGCGTCAGAAATTATGTTGAGATATGATTGTTTCGGTATTTTATGCTTATCTTTGTGAAGAGCTTACATTGCGTCTTTGATTTTATTTTACTTTGGTTTTTTTAGTTCAATGAACTTTTTGCATCCTAAAGAAGATTGAAGGAAGCAAGAAACTTTTTGCTTTTTGGAAAAAAGTGCAATAACTAGTTTGTAAATCAGAGAAAGATGACTTTATACTTAGATGAGTTTGAGAAAATTGATAAAAAAAAAAGACAGACGTGTAAGTAAATAGTTGACAAGTATGATAACTTGGAATGGGGTCCAGCCAAGCATCTGGTGTGAAAAAAAATAGAAAAATTATTATTCAAAGTCACCATGGAGATGGAAAACATCAAAGATAAATTTTTGTATGTGAAAATTCTCATGATTAAAAATCTCCTTGTTTCTAAAGCATATTTCTGAAAGATGCCATTAGTGTGTTATATGATGAGTTTTAATACTTATATAAATGGCGAATTTGAACATTCCTTTGTATGTAAAGAAAAATATCTATGTTATATTTGAATCATTTGAAAAGCAAACAAATGCATTTTGTGACTAAAAACTTGTGATAACTTGCTCATATTAAGTTTGAAGATGCTGAAGTCATGTTGTTAAATATGAGCTAAGACAAGTTAGATTGAAGGAAGTGAGCCAGTTTGACTTGAGAGTTTTCAAGTCTTCAGTTTTGATTAGCTTGACTTGGCTTCTAAGTTGATGGGACCAAGCCAATGGGGTTAATGGAATTGATGAAAAGTTGATAGAGTCAATAGTAATGACTCCATTTTAACTTTTAGTTCCAGTCATTATTTCCAGTTTGAGTTTGACTTCAACAATACATTGCTGAAGAACTATTTGCAATCTGGTCTATATGGATCAACACAGATTAGTATTGGCTATGAATAGTGCTCCTAACAAGTTAAATCAACTCAAATCAACTTGAATCTTAGGATATGACCCTGACTCCCAAATCAAATAAAAAAATATGATCCTAACTTCAAATTAAGTAACTATGACTTCCTGAATTAGAAAAAAATTCTTTTTGTACAAAATGTGTAAAATATTTGAAAAAACAATTTTTATTAAAATATAAAAAATAATTAAAACAATATATTGTAAAATATTTATAAATATATTTACCGTTAAATATTTAAAAAACTAATATATAAATAATTATTAAAATATTAATAAAATATATGTAAAATAATTCAAATAAAAATTTTATTAATATACAAAATATCTTTAAAATGGTAGTTTTTGAGAATGTATAACATTTATAAAATATTTTGCTGTCAAATGTCTCAAAAAAATAATGCAAAAACAATTACATCAGAAAATTTTCACTTGTAAATATATGCAATTACAGTAGTGGTCATAAGTATCTGATCTCCTGTATAAATAAATACTAAGAAAACTTCTCAAATTTTCCAGGTATAAAGTGTGACACAACACCTGATTACCAGTACTTTTACAGGATCATGTGATATTTTTGAATACTTATCTGATGTTATGCTGCAAAAATGGAACTTTTTCTTGAAAAATGATATGAAATAATTTTTTCATATGAACATCTAGCAGGACCAAAGTGGAGTTTTGCAAAAATAGCATTCTATATTCACTGTTGTAAGACCACAATTATTTATTGAGTCAAAAAATACTGTAAAAATAAAGATCTAAGTGATGAAAGAAGATTAGGTCATCCACGATGCACAACTGAGAAGTAAGATAAACGAATGGTGAAGATGGTGAAGGCAGAACACAATATAACAAGCAATCAAATAAAAGAAAAAATGAATAAACATGGTACTGAGGTTGGTATAAGAACTATAAGGTGATACCTTCATGAAGCTGGAAGCAAATACATTAATGAAATTTCAAAATCTTTATTTACAAAGAACCACTGGAAAAAATGGCTACAGTGGATGAAGGAACATCAAAACTTTAACTGGAATCAAGTTATTTTTATAGACAAAAGCACCTTTCAACTATTTTCACAAAAAAAAAGTTTGGATAGTTTGTTGAGGTGTTTTTTGATTTTGGAATTTGGTAAATTGGTATATTTTCAAAGAAACCTTAATGTTAATTTTATGTACAAAGTATATAAGAAGGGATTTCTACCTTCTGTCTCTGAGTTTTTTTGATGGGAATAACTTAAACTGGTTTTTTCAAGAAGACAATGATCCCAAGTACTGGTCAAAAATTTTGCAAAATGAAAGGTAGAAAAGAAAATTAAGGTATTTCCTTGGCCATCAATGTTATCAGATCAAAATTCTATAGAGGATATTTGAAGGTTAATAAAGATAAACATAGCCAAAAAAAAATTTGAACAGCTAAAAGTTTAAAAGGAGAATTAGTAAAGGAATAAGTATCATCTCTCACCTGATCTTGCGGAAAAATTGGTAAATAGTATGAAACATCATATATTAGTACTTATAGATTTGAATGAAGACTATATAATGTATTAATTATCATTGTTAGTTATGTATTTTTTAATAAAAAAATTTTATTAAATATACTTATTCATGAAGAAAATTAGGAGAGTCAGATACTTATAGCCACTACTATAATAAAAACTGAATATACTGTATATAAATATATTTGATGTAATATATGAATTAATGTGAATAAATATAGATTAATATGAATTGATATGGTATTGATCCTAATGGTCAACTTTTATTCATTATTATATTTTTTATCTTATTTATCATATTATTCTATAACTATTATTTCATCATTATGTATTTATTAGTCTATTTATATTCTATTAGCTTAATTTCTTATTTTATTAGTATATATTTATAGGAAAATATTAGTGTAAATCACTTTGAAATTGGTACAACTATTAAGTATTATGACTGTAAATCTGAGCATAATCAACAGTGTATAGTGTAATCAATAGTGTAATGTATAGTGTAATAGATAGTGTAGTAGAAAGCATAGTTAATAATATATACATCAGCGTAATTAATAATATATGCATTAGTATAATCTATAGTGTTGTATACCCAATGTAACAATGTTCTGAAGGATAAAGAATCTTCTCTAACAAAAACTAACAAAAGGTTATGTAATTATTATACTATTTCCAATGATCCTACTTGATCAATTATAGCAAATTACAGAGTTAGAAATCTTTATTGTAACAGGGTTTTTACAACACCAAGTTAGTTTGTGACTTAGCAAGATATATGTGTTATTATCTGTGTAAACCTTCTACAATTTACAAAGACAATAGGATAAAATAATATTAAAACTAAGAAACAAAACTAAATAAAACTATAAGAACTACTAATCTCAAAATAAAATAATCATGATACAAGGGTTTATGCGTAGAAGGAATTATATATGATCAATTACAAAAGAGGTGTATTAACTATTAACATGGTATAAAAACTTGTTAATAGGAACAAACAGTTTATCAATTATCAAAAGAATACAATTAACAAAGAACTCAAAAGATTTTGTAATATTAACTTTATTACTTTATAAATCTTAACTAATTGAAAACTAACTTGGAACTGAAAAACTAACTAGAAAACTAAGATGAACTAATTGAACTGAAGACTGAGTTGAGGAAATTCTCAGCCTTTATATACATGATAGATTTAACTGTAAAGCTAACTTGTAATCTGACTTAAGACTTCACTAGTATCTATGTTAATATCCTATCTGGTACCTTAACTGTTAATTTAACTTGTAATTTAACTAAGATATTAACTCATACTATGGCTTGTACTCTAATTTGTATTCTAGTGTTACAGATTAACAAGAATTTAGAAATCTACTGATTTTTTTTTTTAATTCCAATGGAGTTATACTTTATTAAACAATTTATTTTGCAGTTGGTAAAAA